AGTTGCCTGACTCGATGAGAGGTGGTCGAAATAAAACATACTCGGGGGGTCTGATTTTCAAAGTGTTATTATCAGCACATGATAGTTTCGCGTCCATCTCACAAAGTAAGGATCCGACAGAAACGTTGACAATTATAAATCAGAAAAAAAAAGAAAAAAGAAATGACAGAAACACGGAGCTTATGCGAGCCGTTGGGGAGCCGCAACCCCGCGTGGCGTTCTAGAAGCCATTTTCAGAAATCATAGTGGATCGTTCGTAATACAATTTCTTTAATACACAGAGACGATAACGAGCGATCGTTACAATATTGTAAAATATCACAACGTTAATATTCATCGAAGGAGATGGGGGGGGGGAAGGAGAAAAGGGTCGAGGCCTCGCGAACTCGTCGTTAAAAAAAAAAGAAAAGAATATTAAACGAAAACCCTAAGAAACGACGTTTCGCTATTGCGATTTATTGTCATGGAAGTACCGGAGAAATCATGGCGACCACAACGATAAATGCTTCTTCTCTTTCCCCTACACTTCTAAAGAGATAAATTAAAAGATTAATAAGGAACTTTGGGGGAACATTGGTCCTTGATAAAAAAAGAATTCCTCTGTCTGAAATTCATTCTGTCGCATCTGGTTTACTTAAGAATTAAATAGTTTCAATTAACTTTGACCGACTGAACATTTTACTTATTGAATATGTAACATTATTCACACGTTTGTAAAACACTGTACATTGGGAACAAATGCGATACAAAAGAAAAGCCGACGAATATTTAAAACTTGAACTAAAGATCGAGGGATGGAGGCACATGTTAAATGAAATAAGTGGTATATGTAACCTCTTCAAGGACAGTTAAATTTTCATGAAACACGTGTTGTAGCAATTTTACTAAATTTTTATAGAAATCGATTGCGTCCCTGAAGAGGTTTAAATGATATAAGAAAAGTATACTCCTACAACTGTTCAACTCCGATGATCAATATATTAATACAAATATATAGACGTTTAAATTATCCACATTTTTCTGCGTTAAACATTTCTTTCTCGCGCCTCGTTTGCATTTCGCGACGCCCCCCTGCTTTGGAAAACACTGCTGTAGGGAGAACGGGGACGGATCGTACCCGTCGCACAGGATCTATCGATCGTATCGTCCGTTGCTCCGTCGATTGTGCGATCCACGTCATTGAATAAAGTCTCTCTCCTAAGGTCTAGCGTTACGAGAACGGTCGTCGCCTGAAAATAATTACTGCTGTCCGCGAGAGCCTCGTACGTCCAAGAAGGGGGAATGGAACTAGGGAATCGTAAACAGCCATAAACGAACCTCGCGAATACTGTTCTCTGTTGCATACACACCGCAACGAAACCGTAAGGCACTCACAAAAATATGAAACATTTCACATAACACGGAGACCGTCTTTCGTTTGCAGTATCATTATTTAACAACGTAAACCACTGCCATAATTGCAAAACAGCATAAATGCGAGTTTCTTACACGTCACTACGAAACAGTTGCTCTGTACACATTTTAACATAGAAAATCTTTCTACGAATCCTAGGCTTAAAAAGAAAAAATCACTAGAAATCTAGGAATATCTTACGGTTTGGTGGCGGTATCTGACAGGACTGGAAGCGAACCTCCAAATATGGGGAAATCACCGAATCGTCCGGAAATGGAACTTTCTTGGAGCGAAAGCAGATTTGTGCACACGATTACTAGAGCTTCACACTTTTTCTTTTTTGGCTTTTTTTTGTTTTTGCGTTTTGCTTCATTTCGTTTAATCTACGTGGAATCGAGGGCTGGTCGCAAGGATCCAGAGAGAGAGAGAGAGAGAGAGATAGAGAGTAACGCTCGTTCTTTTTCGTTTTCGTTTCCTAAAGACTTGGGTTTCTTTTTTTTTTATATCTTTACACCGTTTCGCACGGCGTCGTTGCGCCGCTGGAAGTATCCGCCGCTCCCCTCAAAGTTTCAGGCACACCTATATGTATATACAGAACGGTTCCCCGTCTTCTCGCTCTGCCGTTTTTTTAGTTTTCAGTTTGCCCAGCGGCGGCGCTTTTTTTCGGTACGCTAGCGCGGTTACAGATGACTCGAGAGAGTGATCGGGGGGAAAGAATTACGGTATCGTGGGTATAAGAGATACATTGAACTCCCCGAGGCCACGCTCGACCGATTTCGAAAGTTACACCGTGAATTGTATTTTGAGTCACTCTTTACACGTTCCAGAGATGGGCGAAATTGTACGAGAACAAAAGATGACTAACGAGAAAAAAAAAGAACCAATAATCGAACTTCAAAGTTGTAAAAATTTTTGTACAATTTTAACAAAATGATTTTGAATATTTTTACACGAGATAAATCGTGTATACTTCTTAAATAGACCAAAACCATGCGATAAAAAATTGTCTAGGCTAGAACACCACCATAAAAAGAGTCACAACCCTACTTTGCAAAGTAATAAAGAGGAAGTCGTGTCTATAGCGATTAATCTAGAGTGTGGCGAGTGGCCTCGAATCGATGGCCAGTCAATCGATTTTGTTCGAACCGCAACGCCCCCGAAACGTATAGAAAATCATCCCCCTGTTGATGATCGACGCTCGAGCAGCGTCCGAGTTCGCTGTATCTCTTCTACTCGCTACACGCGAATAACACCAGCCATTTACCTACGTAACAATTACTAACGGCTATATATACAACGAATCGCTAATGCAGACGCCGATTGCACCGGAACGAAAAATCGAAGGCGAGCCTTGTCCCGTGTTTGTACGGGGCGACGAGCGGAGAAGGTGTCGGAGAAATAGAGAGATTTAGAGTATAATAATTAGAGAGTAATATCACGGAAAACGTCCAGCCTCGAGAATTAAATAATGTGGCACTGTTTTGTTGGGCGAACCTCGTCCCGCCGACTGAAAGAGTGTCAAAAGCGGATTGGAATCATAGTTTCACGCGGTTGGGAGGGTACGATAGCCAACAGTTCGACATCTCCTCGACGCGGAGCGACGCTCTTTCTCTTAACTGATTCGTAAACGAAACAACAGCAGCGTAAAATCTAAAAAAATACGTGGTCGGGGGTCGACGGGGACCCACGCGCGGCAATATATTACACGGAATACTATAAAGTGGGAGGCGTAAATCCGAGAATAAAAATAAATACGTCTTCGAAACACCGGAGACATCGACGCGTGTCCGCGCGGTTCGCGAGCGAAGAGAAGAACCGAGTAGTTAACATATCTGTATACGTTTACGTTTTGTTTAGGACGTCGCGAGAGAAACGGGGTATTTAATTGCCTCCTACGCTATTCGATGTGGTTCCAAAAGAAGGAAATAAATTTTTGGAGATTGGTACCGGAGACCAGCGGTGCTCCGTTTCTCGCGCGACATCCCGTACATTAAATTGTACCTTAAACGATAGCGAACGCGAGACGAAATCAAATCGCTTTAGTTCTTTTGTACGTAACGCTCGACGCCTTTGGGGCCATCCTCGATCCGTTCGTCGAGGCGTCGAAAATTGAACGTCGAAGTCCACGCTATTAGTAACTACTGATCGTTCCGCGGACGACAAAGGAACCGTGAACACAGGCAGAAATAGAAGCGTCGGTGCGCGCACGCTGCTCGACGAATTAGGTAATATTTACGACGCGAAGCAACAATTTTTAACATCCTGATCGCTGACCACTCGCGACCACAGACGGGCAAAACTCTAATTTCCAATACAGTGAAATGAAATTAAAAATGGAAACGGATCGCAACTAGATCGTTCGATCGATCAAAGGTCGTCAATAAATTGCTTCGTGTTTTGTTAGTCGTTTATCGTTGGAATAAGGATTCTTGCCCAGCTCTGCTCGCGCAGTGGTCGTCTCGGAACTTTTGTATTTCTCGACTTCGCTCTCTTTGTACAGCTACGCGCGCTTAGCAGAACACCGTAGTCTCTAAAATCTTTTATCGACTAACGTCTCGCCTCGCTCGAAGCACGCTCGCGGGGGAATCATTGTGCTTCGACTTCAAACGGAAGAAAATACGCGCGGCTTTCGAGTCCTCGTTTTGCGAACGCGACCCCGACGCTCGTTCCCCCTTCTCAGGGGGCGTCTTACCACCCCTTTTCTCGCCCACCGTTTCAACGTTCGATCACCGTCTTGGAAACTGAACAGAGTCAACCTTGAATTTTTGCCAAATCCCTCGACTTTGCTCCGGAAAAGACGAGTTCACTCATATTTAATATTCATATAAAGAATTTTCTGAATGATCGAAGTTAGTTACCACCTTTCTCGAATATTAAAAATATTAATAAACTGTCAAGGAAATTATTCACAGCTTTGAAAATATGTTTCACAAGCCTTTGCTATCCAACTGTGTAAACTGTTGGCCCAATGTAAATGTACCTAAGGATTATTCAACCAGATCAAATAAAAAGAGGTTCACGGATGCTCACGTTTGGTCTTCTCAATTTTAACGCTGCTCGAAATTATCAGGGAATCGCGTTTCAATGATCTGTGTATTTTAAGCGATAATTTTTTTACCGCGCGTCTGGCTAATTAACATTACCACGGAAGTTTATTATAGAATTATCAACGCCAACTAATGAATACGAACTTCCGTTTATAAAACAGTTTGCATTAGATTATAGTTATTATTACCTGTTATTTCCATATGGAACAAGCGATCCATCAAGTCGTAGTCGACGATCAAAGTTCTACCATGTGGAATGTTAACGAATCCCCCCCCGGAGTCGCTTAGAAGGTGATCCTGTAATTATTTCGAGCAGCGTGTCGGTATAAATTACACGGTGCAATAACTATTGTCATTCTGGTAAACACTGCGAGAAGTCAAAACAACGTAATTGCGTCAGAACCTGTTCAACTCTTTTTGCGCATCTCGACAGTTGGTTTATCAATACCCTTCAACACTTTGACTGCCACGTCACCCATATGTGGGTAACAGTGAAACTAAAACAATTAATTCTCAAGTGAAAGTGTTAAAGAAAATAAATTTTAACAGGCTTCGTAAATTTTAACGAGGTTACGAAAGTAACTACTACAACTTTTAAGTTGTGTAATTTACAATTATCTAAAATCAAAGTTTTGGTCTCGTTGACAATTTTAGGATCTTAGACTGGCAGTCAACGTGTTAAGAAAATATCTATCTTTACAATTTCTTGAGATAACTAACTGCACCAGTGCTCGATCATACTCGCCTTTTCTAGGGATTTTATCGAGAGACCTAATCCACGGGTGAAACAGGAAGCGTTCCCAAGCTTCTAGGCGGCGAGGAAAAAAAAACTTAACCCTTTGCACTCCTATGTCGAGTCCAAACCAAATACATACACTAAAAATTATAAAATACAGCAATAGTGTAAATAAAACAGATATTCGATTGAATTTATTTGCTCTTCTGTTTGTTTAAATTGCTCTGTTTTTTAGTTTAAACAAAATTGAAATATAATTCGGAGTGCAAAGGGTTGCAAAGATGAATCGAGAGGAATCGGTGATCGGTTTCAACGTGAGCCAGCTACGAAACTGAACAAATGATAATTTGGGGGGTCAACGGGCGTCGGGGGGTGTAGCATTCGCGTCGTGTTTCGTCGGGTGTTCTCCGTCTCGACGATTCCCTCGTCCGGCATACATCGTGATCGCTGTTCCTCGTGACTACCGGGGCTCGCTGGCCTCGTAGACGAGCTCTGGCACCAGGGCCAACGAGAACGTGGCGCTGGTTTGTCTAGCGTACTGCCTCCTCGTCACGATAGCTTCGTGTTACCTATTGTTCTCCTCCATCACCACCTGCTTGAACACACCGGCGGGCATCTGGCTCTTCACCTCGTGGCTACCGAGCGCGGTCGTCCCGTCTTTCGCGATGAACAACTGAAGCCCCGTCGCTGCAACAACGCAATCACATCGAACGGTTACGCTTGGACCGAGTTATACAACATTACGCAACGTCTTTGCTCTTAGGTAACCGCAACCGGACGCGTTGGTCCCACCTCTGACGTTTCAGTGACTTTGAAAACATGTCATAGACTGTGTCTTAACCCTTTGCACTCCGAATTCTATTTCAATTTTGTTACCATGAGCTCCCAAACGCCTTTAAGTTATTAAATAATTTAGTACGATATCTCTTTGGTTTGGACTTGAAAAAATGTCTCCTAAGATAAAAATTGATGTCGAATCACGCTCGATATAGGAGTGCAAAGGGTTAAGATGTATTTTGGTACATATTATGGTAATTCTTATGGTGGAATCAGAGAGCAGAGTGGATGAAACGTACTCTCGGAGCTCTCGAGATCCGTCTGCTCCAGATTCGTTGCTTTGATCAGCTCGTCGATGAGGGAGTCCGGATTCGGCCTGGTGACCTCGACCCTGCATAGCACGGGGTTCCCCGTCCCGTCCTCGGCCTTTTTCCTGCGCTCCAGCGCGGCCTTTGCCCGGTCCAAAGATCCCGTCTCGCTGAGGCCAGAGCCGCCGGATGGATTTCTGCGAAAACAAAACGGCGGACCGTAATAATCGTCGGCGTTTTGACGTCTGTTTGCCCGGGCACTGGCGCGAAAAACAGGGTACCCTTGAATCAAAAAACCGCTGTGATCGCTCGAAACGACGGTGAATAAATTTCGCGCCAGTGCCCCCTGGGGGCCTCGCGACGCGGCAGAATCGAAATAGTTGAAATTCCGGGCGACACACCGCGTGCAGAAACGAGCACGTTCGAAGCAAACGGGGTAAAAAAGAACAGGGCACAAAACATAAAGAGATGACGAAAGGAGCGCGTTTTTGGTGCTCGAACGCGAACGAGACGAACGCAAGGGGTCGCAAGCGTGTGTGTGGGAGTCCTCGACGCACGCTGTTCGAGATGATTTAAGCGCCGTGGATCAAGCGGAAGAAGATTGTGCGCAGAAAGCTAGCTTCTTTTCTGAGCTCGTGTGATTCCCATGCAACGGCGTAGCCATTCATAATGAATTAATAATGAATCGTACCGGACCTGTCCATTTTTATCAAAGTCAATGTACATCAATAAAATTGAACGTAAATCGTCAAATGATGGGGATCCATGTAATATTTGACTTCGAGAATTTTCGACAGGTCCGGCCCAAATTCCGCTGCAAATTGCAGGAAGTTTCCACGAACGACCAGGTGAAAAGAAAAAATTGTTTATCGGTTTACGTGGACAGCGGGAGAACTATGAAATAGACTCTGACCGGTTGCACTGTTACAATGTATTTGATAAGGAACGTGGTTGGTCGTTCGTGGAATCGTGAATATGGAAATCCAACACCAAAAAAGAAACGCAAACGCAAAGAAAAAAGTTACGTGACGTTGTAGAAACCGTAATAAATAAAAAGTTCGGATCGTTGAGTCAGCTGTGCGCACAACAACAACGTAAAAAATAGATTTCCAATCACGTTTCGCGCTGGCGTCGATGGGTGGATTTTGTAGACCAGTCCCCATACGTTTTAAGAAACCAATTGTAATTTAATATATTTCATGTTATGAAAAAGAATTCGAAGCTGAGGAACCTGCTGCATTCTTCCAGTCTTTGCGTTATAGAATAATGATAAAAAGACTGGAAGAATGTGTGCAAAATGAAATATATTAAAATCATATGTAAACGCTTGTACTTGAACAAATGTACATGTACAATAAAATGTTTGTTACTGATTACGGTGTTCTTGTATCGATCTTTTACCTCTAGGGACTGCTCTATTAGACAGCTTGTTCATTCCAGGGGACATTTAACACTCCATTAGGGTTATTAATCACGATTTTTCTGATTAAAACGGTCAACGATTTCGCAGACATAAATTGCAGCGAACCTTGCACACGGAGACATGGAGGACGCTGAGATTCCTGAAAGCCTTTGGTCAAACATTGACACTATTTTTATACGTTCATTATCATTTCGTCAATTAACACTCGTCGTCGGAATTTGTCGGACAGTTAACACCTTGCGGACAAATTATTAACGATTCCTCGTTCTAAGAATCCCTCGACTATATGCACACTTTGGAACGACGTAGGATCGATGCAACTTGAAATATAATACAAAAATATCTTCCATTGTTCCGATCTGTTTGTTTTATGAATAATTCTTTCAACACGGAACGCTAAATATGGTCGGTGGATTCATAGTAATGAATTTCTAAGCTAATCTTTTCATTGCAAGTAAAATAGAATCATATGAAACCAATTTAAATCTATGTAATCTATTTTGTATTAATTGCAACCTTGTAAATTTTTTTTCATTGTCTAATAACAACTCGTAAATCTAAAACCTGTATCAATCTAGAAGTTTTTGTACTAATATATTCCAATAAAGTATTTACAATTTTTAATGATAATTGCTTTTTTTCGCTAAATAAAGCAAACCATGATTAACGACATGAGATCACAATTTTTCTAACCTTCCGACCTCTCGATCATTAAGAAAATAGCCAAGCAAACATACTTCTCTCGCTATCAATATTAATATTTTCTTTTCTTAGCGTGATAACAACTCGTAAATCCTCGACTCGTTATTTAGTCATTCCCCAAGGCAAGCGTCATGGAACTTTATTCTAATCCGAATGTACATTTTTAATTTTGAAACGCAATAGTCCGCAAAGTGTCGACGCGCGTCGTTTCCGTCCATCGTTCGATTCACGTGTCTCCGTGGAAAAGGGGGCGAAAGCTGAAGGAAAACACTAAGAGAGACAGACACACAAACGAAGGACAGATTAAGAGACGAAAGCATGGACTGACGGTGGGGTTATGCTGTTTCGGTGCTGGGAGCTCGGTGGAGCGACTTCCGGTACCCCCAAGGAGGACTCCTCGGAGTCCGCTGGGCTGGTGGCGACCGTAGCCAGCTTGCCCCCCGTCCCGTCCAGCAACTTCCGGTGGCCTCCGCCAATACCCCTGCAAGGATTCACAAAGCCATCCAAACTGGAAGCAAAGCTACACCTCCTCTCTCCTGCGCTCTTCGTTTCATTCTCGTTTCTCTACGTTCAACCACGTTCTGACCAGAGATGACAAAAATTTCCCAAAAATTTAAACAAAAACTCCAGTTTCGAGTCATTCGATAACAAAACAGTTATAAAAAGTTTGCTCATCTCTGGATCCAGGATGTAAGTCGCAAGACCGCTTCGACAGCTCCATCGCCGGAAGCGAGAATTGCTATACAAGGGATTACTATACTCTGACAGCTACAGAGAATGCTTCTAAATGGAACTCGGACACAATGATCAGAGTTTTACAAAAGTGCTATGTTCGTCTCAACTATTATCATCTCAACTATGGTCAGAACTAGAAACTAATGGCTACTACCATAAAAATGCAGTCTATAGGAGTGGTATTTGTTTCTATCATGAATATCGCTCAGATGCATTCTTCGTAGCTTCCTACAGGTGTCTTACAGATTTTTCGACAACCAACCGATCGACAGAGTTAGGAACAAATAATGCATCTTTTCACAGAGTTATCCAAATATTAACATTTCTATCAATTGCCCTAATATAATTTATGACCGGTAGTGTACGGTTTGAGGTACGATGAATCTACTTTGTTTCGCGACCGGTTCCATCAATTTCTCCTATCATATTTTATTGAACTGGGGACCCCCGTATTTCCTCCGGGTTCGGTCCCGCGCAGAGCACCGCCAGGCATAAACGGATTAAAATCAGCGGCTGTGAAAGCGTCATGCGAAATACATCCTCTCTCCACCTCCATAATATATTAACTGTATTCTAGAGTCACCCTCCACGCGTCTCCCTTCTCGCCACTGACCCGTTTCCGGATGTATTCCGTTAATATTTCATCGGGTGAACTTTTTCAAACAAACATTGATTCTGGCTCTGGCTGCCCGACAAGATATTGCACAGGGCTCTATGAAAACACAAATTTCGAAACTGATGCGTTGACTCCAATGGGTCCACCACGCGTCAACTGTAATTCATTCTTAATTGTAGATTTGCTATGTTTCTTTTTCAGAAATGTTATTGAGAAATTGTTTCATAGACTATATCTTTATTTAACCAATCACTAATTATTTTATTATCGAAAGAACAACTTAGCAGCGCTTGGACCCTTGGCGCCAACTCTGGAGCTCTATTGGCCACCATCTTAACGAATTACATCCTTTCTTAAGTGTGCGTGTTAAATACAGTTGCCCTTGCGTTGGACCTTAACGCGATACCTTACAGGTACGCAGCAACGACGGATCAACTAATCGCGGTTCCCACGAACGCAACAAAGCTTCCACGAACAAGGCGCAGCGTGTAGGAAACAACGGATTCAGACTCTTCTGAACGATCGTTAACTATCGGCAAGCAATTCTCTTTGACGTGGTTTCGTGAGGAATGAAACGCGTCGTAGACGATCGCGAATCGTGTGGAGTTTAGCAGTTTCTAGTAGACTCGTGGTTAACGGAAGCGAAGCGGTAATCTCGCAAGCTAGTGTGTTGTGTAGCGGGTGAGAATTCGACACGTTTGATTACGGAACTTTTGATCGAACAGGTCTCTGTAGGCGTTATAATACAAAGAGGATCGTGTGTTCCTGACAGAATATAAAACAAAAGAAAAAGGCAACGGAAAGGAAGCAAGTGGTTACTCGCTGAAACACAGAGAGAGGAAACGTTATTTATTCACCGGTTTATCATTTGTCGACGATCTACGGGGTACAATGCGATTATCGAGGAGCCCGTCGAAGCAATGGCGGCGAACGTTAACAAGGAACAAATAATAAGTTTGGCGGAATCGAACGCACAAAATCACCTCGAAGAGGGGGATACAAGGTGTGCCCCACTGGAAACAGACCACCATAAAAATACAAGAATCAAATACAAAGAAACTCATGAAACTCGACCTCGAACATACACTAGGGTAATAATATTTTCGAGCATCGGTGGTGGTGTTCGTTTAAATTTCAAGTCTCAAGAAATTTAAGGGTAAATACAATAAAGTAATAGTCTACCAGATCAATGCGTGAAAGGATTAAAATATCTTAAAGCTTAGCTCTTATTCTACGAACCGTGTACTTAACACTAGAACTACCGACAATTACAGTGTGCTTATTTGTACCAAAGAAATTAAATCAACAAATGTGTAAAGAAATGTATAATACAATGCTAATAAATGTTTATTCATTCTTTTATAGAAAATTATGGTAAATTTTTATAAACTCGGTAGAGTAAATTTTTTATAAGTTTTATTAGAAATTGTGAATGGATCATTTTGACTGTTTTGGTAGTTCTAGTGTTAAGAAACCGGATGTATACAAAGTACAAACAGCTGAAGGATTTTTAGTTTGTGATTTCTAGTGGGGCACCCTGAGCAGACCAGAGGGACGAGGGAACGTAGCGAAAAAGACTCGTAAGAGAGTAAGTTCGTTGATGAGTGAAACCTACCTGAGGGTTTGAGCGGTGGTCGCGGAACGTAGCGAGGCTCTGGGGTTATCGGGCCTATGAAGAGGATCTGGGGAGGATACAGCCCTGGCCTGATCCACCAGTCGCAAAACCGGGCTGGTCTTGCCCTTCTCGATGCAGTCGCAGGTCTTCGATATGCTTCTCCAACCTGGCTGACCGATTCTCGGCTTTGCGACCGGCGCGATCGCGACGCTACTGTTCGGTTGTTGGCCGTTTCTGTCCTTGGACGTAGACCGCGCGGCGTTAAGCTCGTTTCGCGCCTCGAAGCTGCTCCTCTCGTAATTCTTGCGCGAGTGTCGCGGCACGTCCTGGGCTCCGGGCACCCTGAACACGACGGCGCGGTTCTCGTGGACGTCGCCGGTGTCGTTCGCGACACCGTTTCTACGCGACGACGCGCGATCGTGTTCGTCGTCGTGTTCGTTGGACGTAGGACGAACGGCCGCGACACTCGTTCTCGACCTGGTCGAATTACGCACGTCGGACTTTCCATCGCGGGACGAGAGTGGACTCGACGCGGACCAGAACCGGTTACGTGGATCCAACAGCATCAGGGAAGACGTGGAGGGGGACTCGGTGGTTTCGAGACATGTCTCGGGTCTGTGGGGTTGCTGGCTGGCGGAGAGATTCTGGGAAGGGTTGGGGATGCGCGGAGCCCATACCGGCCAGGAGGGTGACCTATAAAGATCACAACACAAATATTCAAGCATGCAAAAATTATAATAAACTCGCGTGTTTGGCGACACGCCCGTAAATACGGAAGAGGGGGCCAATGCAAAGGGCGGAGGAGAGAAAAAAAATATGCACGGGACGCAGCCTGACAGCCATTTATGGCCATCGAACGAAACTTTATTGGGTATCGATTGTCATCAATACCAATAAATTTTTGTCCAAAGGTCCTTTTCGCGGTGCAGGATACGCCCTTGTATACGCGCGGGAAGAGAGAATCCAGAGTCTCTAGTCAAGGATTAATATAAGTGGTTAAAAAAATAAGTTTTCCTCGGGCAATCCTGATGCTTTGTCGGACGCGGGTTGGATCCGTGATAGTATAGTTGTAAAGTGGTGCAGCGTAGCGAATGGTTAAACGCGAGCGTGTGTGTGTACCTTTGTTTTTGTTAGGCGAGATTCTGCGAGTATCCCAGGTTTTAATAACCAAATTTTGCCTGCGTGCTCTATGGGGCTAAATAAGAAAAGGAATATAAATAAATCATCGAGATGTTCGTACAATATTCTTTTTATATTTATTCCTATAGAACCGATAAAGTTTGGCCATTGAAACCTCAGAAACCCCATACAGAAGAGAGACTATGGCAAGATACAGAGTCAAGCGCAGAGTTTTCGCAGCGAGATAGTGAACGCGACCGATCGATGTGTAAAATGGCGATTCGAGAAGTTGTTAGTTGCGACTGTTAAGAGCACGAACGTCGCGACGATCGTCCGCTGCGTCTTCTCACGGTTATCTCGCGATTATTGAGCCGGTCGTTCAAGCAACTGTATTCTTGTTACCGAGTTTCCTCCATGAAGATCCCATATAGAACACCCATGCTCGCTTATCGTCTAAGCGACACCGTGAAAGTTAGAGAAGGCACCGATCATTCTTAATCGAGAGAGCTCGACAGAACGAAGGCACTCATCGAACGGTGTAATAAGCGATTAATGGAGCCCGCGAGAGTACTCGAAATGTTCTGTGTTACTGGAAGTATCGAGAAGAGAACTCTGGACACGGTAGTTTAGGACGGTATCGGGCTACTGTTTCAAACTGACGTTCATTGATCTCTCTTAGTTCGGTTTTGGCTAACAGGTCCGGAGAGTTCAGTTTTCTTATAGAGTCCCGTGTACCCAGGAGGCCGCGGTGGCTTTACCTAATGTGGCCACTGTCACCACTACTGCTCTGCCTACTGTGCTGACTGTGTGAATTCAGTGACCCGTAGCCCGAGCCTTTGCTCAGCTGGCTGGTGTTGCTGCTGTTGCGGGAATGTCCCGACTCCGTGTGCGCTTCAACCAGAGTCTCCACTGGAAGAGCTGACGGTACGATCTCGCTCAAGGTCATGGGATCGTACGACTCCGCCCCGCTGAGGAGCTCTGCAAGAAGAACGTTCCATCAGACTTGGTGTCAAGCAAAAAAGGATCAACTTCGAAGGAGAGAACATGAGATGTTACCCGAGGAAAAGAGGGCAGGCCTCTTTTTGGGAAGACTGCCGAAACCGCTGCTGGCGCTGGCTATGCTTCCAGCCAACGACCCGCTGGAAACATAGTCCTCTCGGTTGGTGCACATCTCCGACGCGGCCACCTCGTCGGCTGTCACACCAGGAATACCTGGACCGCCTGGCACCGCTAGTTGCGTCTGCTTCAACGACGGGGAGGGTCTAAAAAAAAATAGGTTACGTTCAATCCAAGGTTCGATGTACGAAGAAGGCTTTCAACGAATTAATACTCACACTTTGAACAGAATGTCTCCCGACAACATGTTCATCTTAATGGCAACGCGTAGCATGGAGTTGTCCTGCCGATGTCTCGCGTCGTAACCTTCCAGAAGGCACCTCGTTCTGCAGAGTCCAGCTCCAGCGAATTCGGCGAGGTTCAGGTCGGTGAAGCCGAGCTTCTGGAAGGACCTGCCTCCCTTCAATTCCTGGAAAACGGATCGCTGGTTAGAGAAGGGAACGGGACAGAGTCGAATGACGCTGGAGGCTGTAACGGGGTTACCTTTCTCACGGATATCCTCAAGATGCACGGATCGAGGACTCCGGTGGACGCGTTGGCACTCATCTTGCACAGAAACTCGAATCTGGCATTCCACCTGACCGTGTGCTCCTGCACCTCGTCCCTGAAGAGCAAAAGAAAACAATACGCGTGAGAAAATGTTCTGTAACGAGACGACATGTATACTAAATCTCAATAAAAAATCTCAAACGAACTATTGGACTTTGTTAAACACTGCAATTCCCTTCCCGAAAGACTAAGATGCCTTAATAATCCCACTAAACGCACGGAAGACTTTTACGAGGATAGTAACTTGGCTCGTGGACGTTACACGTCCGCCATTATATCCGTGACCTCCGTGAGGTCCTCGACCCCAGATTAAAAACCGCAGAACTAGAATATTGTCTTCGCGGAAGCAAGAAATCCGACGAGGGACGAGAATGACTCACGCGTTCCGAGCGACGCCGTTTGATCTGGCAGGTTTTCTTTTTTTTTTTTGTCCACCGTGTCGTATCGATGAACCGTTTATATGAATATTCAGCGTACTTTGCTTCCGGCAATGGGGCTTCCGTTCGTCGATCACGCACGCGTCGCGTATCGAATCGTACAAAGGGCCGAATTATACGCTGTAATTGTTTATGCCACCCATGGTGAATTTCTGACGCGTTTACCGGCCGCCTGGCTCTTTCATTCGTTGACCTACAGAGGTCGTGGCAGCGCTCCTCGCCTCTGTTTACGCGTCGAGGTAATTTTTTAGCGGACTCTCGGACACGAAGGTTTCGATCCACGATGTTCGGGGTCTAAATAAATCTTGAAGGGTTTTCGTGGATTTTCCGATCCACTTGACACACCCGTGGTCGTAAATGTCATCACAGCACGCACCCTCCTCAACATGGAGTGCCGCAGTATCGACCTTGCGAGAAGACCAAAGAATTTCCAAGTACAAAACGCTGGGCGAAGAACGACGGAATAATACAAACACTCGTTCCAAGAAAGGACGTCTCGTATTACACGGGACTACTTCTTTTTCGTTCCAATCCACACACTTGGTCACTTCGATACTTATAGATTATGTTCTTTTACGAATTGGTCAGGTTATCTTTCGTCAAATCTCAGTTAGAAAGATCGTGTCTCGTGGCACTTTTTTTTAGAATCGTAGGAATGGTGATTATTGTTGCTTTTAAACGCATGATCGAGCCCGTGTTTTCCCCGGTGCTGGGTCCGTTAACGAGATTGGACAGCTTAGCAGTATTATACCTGGATGCATGCACCGACGAGTCGAAAAGTCACGCGGTTATTTCTATCTACAATGAGATTACCCATTAAATGCATCGTACACGAAGCTGAAAGAATTCCAGAGTCGCGCACGATCGAGTTGTACGAATTCGCGGAAAGCTTTTTCGACGCTAACGAGCTTTATGCTGCATTCGAAATTAATTAAAACTAAATCGAAGTACAACTTGCTCTGACAAATAATTGAACTCTTCGATCCGTCGAACGATTCTTGGAGTAAGCAGAGGGTAACTAATCTTTAACAGTACCACCCTCCCTATTCCAGGGAAATACTTTTACAAAGAAACCGTTTTCTTCGCGGAGCAAATTTCCGTCGAGTTTCAGCGAAGATGAAATTAAGCGAACACGACGGGCGGTGATTTTTCTTAGAAAGTTTTAATCGAAGAAGCATCCTGCCGGCTCGATTAAAGATCGGACAGTGGGTCACGAGGATGGGACGCGATGATTCATGCGGCTGGGATGATAACCGATAAGAATCCAAGCGTGGTTGCTTTTGTCGTTGTGCCAGGAATTTAATTTTTTAGCGGTTATTAATCCTTGAAACTTTTAGGCCTTATCATTTTCTGTACAAGCCTCTCGGTAATTCCATTTGGCATTCTGACTGTCGCAAATTTATATTTCATACTCATCGATCGTTGGTCATGCATAAAATGCACTTCATATACAGGGTGTTCGATCACTCACGGGAGAAATTTTAATGGGGGATTCTGGAGGCCAAAATAAGACGAAAATCAAGAATACCAATTTGTTGATGGAGGCTTTGTTAAAAAGTTATTAATGTTTAAAGTTCCGATAGTACTGAATTTTTTTCTCGAAAATGGGTAGGATTTCGGGGGTATGTCTATTCACCAAAAATGATTCACCAATAATTTTTTCAGAACGATTCGAAATTTTTTTTTTCCGTCGAGAAATTTCACTCCTCGAATTTTTTTCTAGAAAGTGGGTAGGATTTCGGGGTTATGTCTAATGACCAAAAATTATTGTAATTGACCCCCGCAACCGAAAATAATTTTTCCAGGACGATTTGAGATTTTTGAATTTAATTGTTAATAACTTTTTAACGAAGCCTCAAACGAAAAATTAATATTCTTGATTTTCGTCTTATTTTGATTGTTGCGCCCAATATTTTTGGCCAAAATATTCACCTGTACAAAAATTAATGATTTCGGGACAGAAATGGGTTAAGATCGAACGAGAGAAGAGTATTATTAACGACTGGATGTTTCAAAAAGTAATTAACCGAGGTCCGCTTGTACGAAGTTTCGTTGTAACAAACGTTCAAGGTTAATTAACTTCAACGTCCGTCCAGAAAATAGGAATTGCAAATGAGTTTGCAGGTAGCGAATGGGGGGGAAACTGGGCCAACGGATTCCAAGGAAACTTCGAAAGATACACGGGTCCATCCTTCTTTTTTTCACCCCTATAATTTTCGGTGGCGGCGCGTTTTTAACGAGCCCGAAGCCCAGAGCGAATCAGGCGCAGAACTTTTCCTCTACCTTCGGTGGAACGATGCTTTGATCTTCGCGCGCGACGAAAGAAGTCGGTATTTCCGGCCGTATCTCGGCCAACGAGAGAAAAAGGATTCGTGACGACGCACCGGGTCGACGAATTATCGACGAATGGAGGGAGACACGTCCGCGAGAACCCGTGAATATCGATGTAACGAGACCAACCTACGCCCCCTAGGGGCGTCAATGAGAAAGAACCGTCGTTGCATGGAACCCCGACGTGTAACTGTGTGTCTGCAATTCCGGCCGACCCTAATTCCACCGTATCTTCCATTTGCTCGCTCGAATTTCTCGCGACGCCGACCTCATCTTCGATAAACTGTACTTCGTTCCTGTAACTTTCATTCAACTCGGTGTCTAAATATATCAATTTCCGGACCCAAAACGAATTTCTATTTTGAGAACATTTATAAAATCGAGGACATAAATTGTTAGAATCGATCGAAGAGTCAATCGCAGCGAACAATGCCCTTTGTAAAAAGAGCGAAGGGCCAACAAAGTTTTGTCAGAAGATCGCAAACGAGTTCAAGGGCAGTCAGGCGATTCGATTACGGCGTCGATCGATTCTTTTTCGCGGATGGCGTAACACCGCTCTCTCGTGACACACGTACGTGGCCATTACTCGGCCAAAGAATTTGATTATCCGGACGTAACCGATGGATATTGTGGCGGCTCGTGAAAAGCAGGAGGGCGTTTAAACGAAAACCCTGTCAACACATTCCCCGCGAGGCGGCCCGTCGATCCACAGGATCTACCCGACGGATTAACGGAGGGCCAAGGACAAACTGTTGTCCAGCCGACCGGGACAAGCCCAATTACCGTGGGAAACCAGGACAACGTGTCTCTCGGCGTGTCCAAAAATTTGGATCCTCGACGAACGAATTTCCAAACCCTCCCCGCGTGCTTGGAATCAACGATACGATACTAGGGACATTTCTTTCGCGAACAAGAAATAAAAATGTTTGATTCGTGCATCGACGCTGGCTCCTTTCGACGTTGAGAACCACTGCGCCACCGAGACGTAAACAGAAGCTTCGCGAACGTTGGGAGTTGTAACATGACACCTCGGAATGTCCAGCCAGGACTCGACGTTAGCCTTGAGACACGCTCTCGATAGATTTTAACGGTTTTTTAGGAGAAAGCAGATGCATTTTAGCAGAATATACGCGATTACGTGCGGATCTTTGTGTCACGGAATTTCAGCGAGCGTGGTGTCTCGTGTTTTATCAAGGGCTGCGTGTCTCGTGGCAACGGCCGCACAACAAAAAGCACGCGCCAAAAGCTATCGATTCGTCGATAAAAGGCACGCGTATCCAGGGTATCGAGACGACCGGAAGCACGATTAACGTGTTTGCGCGCGTGTCTGACGATAGCCACCGCGAGTGTACACGAGAGGCGGTCGTAAAATGATATTGGCATTGCGGTGGTCGAAAATCCTAAACATCTGGCCACCGTGCTCCCTCGAACTTAAAAATCTGACAGTGGAAATTGCACAAGTTATCGATACGAGCTTAACGATCAGAGTCGATTATTTGGATCGGTTATGTTTCTCAAGTTGGCCATATCGATGACATTTCGAGCTTCATTAAAGTCTAGACTATAAAATAGGTATTGATCATATTAATTTCTAACTCTAGGAATGCCTATTATGGACACTTAGAGAGACTGTCTTCACACGATCAATTTCTTATAATAAATATAAAAAATTAGTTACCAGCGATATCAGTATTTTTCCAGATTTTTTGGGATTCCCGAACCATCTTGGGAATCCCCGAGATCGTCGAGCACGGCGATTACCGTCGACGGAAACTTTGTCCAGGAATCCATTTGCGTAAAACGAATCAGAGTTTTCATCTTGTCTCGCATTCAATTTACGGGAAGGAAAATTGTCGGTCGTTCGCTTTATCCGTTTCGCGAATTAAACTCCCCGCCCCCGGATGATCGTAATCGTTTGTCAACGACAGCCGTTAAGAAAGTGGCGTGTCTCCGACCGGGGAACTTCTAATTACCGCGGCTTAAGAGGCGGGGGCTTCTTTTCGCGACGGAAAGACCCCGGTAGGACCGTGGCCTGAACGAATTTCACGCGGGAACGACTCGGAACGGCGATGATTAAATTCAACCACCGTGCTCTGTAATTTGATCGTTGATCCTAGCCTGCGACAATTGCCACACGACTGCCATCAGTGTAGAATGTCAACAGGTCTTTGCCACTGCTAGGAATCTACGTGCTCTGCTTCGTTACGTCGTGCTTTCTTCCTCGGTGCTGTTCAATTTCACCCGATATCTTCACTCTCCTTTCGCGCAAAAGCTTTCGAAACTGTCT